CAAGCCACAAGTAGATGGATGTAAATAAGTAAAATGTACACACTATATAGATGTTGGAAAGAAAATTTAACACATCTACATTAAGTTGAACAAAGCTTTGTTAAAGCCCATATGTATTATATAGCAAGCAAGGTTTTCAAATGTCTAATAAAAAAGAGCTTCAGATTTTACAGAAAGGTAAACACAGAAGCATGGTTCATTGATTTAAAGAAATGTGAGTTGTCTGGCTGTCATGCCAGACTTTAAACACATTGCATTTTCAGCAGCAGGTTGTAAGAAGAATAGTGTTATTATTCCGTGCCCTTATATCTGTGCCTCTGTACATACACTAAAATTCTCTCCATGCACGGTGAACAGAACCCCGCTATTTGCCACTACACACACAAAAAGGTGCTTCATCCCAAGCGGCATCCAGTATGGGCCTTTAAACAGTTGCATCTCATATAGTTCCTCCAGGGCTCTGTTTCTAACCAGAGATCTTGTTCCTGTGCAGATGAGAGTCCTGACCATCCTTTCTATCAGCAGGAGCCATCCAAAGTCTCTCTATATACTAGAATTACTTGCAAAGGATCATTATTTAGCATAAGTGCTAACAAAATCATTGCAGCAATATAATGATAATCAAATACCATTGCTGCCAAGGAGTCTATGGTATGGTAGTAATTCTACTTAAGGGGCATCTAAATCCAAGAACAAAAAATATATATATTGCAGCTTTCCAGTCCATAGACGGGATGGCTACATTATTTTTCTTCTTTTCCATCTTTTTTCCACCCAGTGATCCTGCCAAACTTTCTGTCCTAGTGTGACAAAGCCCACTCACTAGACTTTATCTATGGAGAGCGGTGTTGCCACCCCAAGGACAGACATTATTTTAGGACTGCAGAACATTTCCCCCCTCTTCTTCATAACATAGTGGGAGGTCTTTTGTAGTCCACAAACATAGCTCAGAACAGTGCTAAGTGACAACAGACAGTAAAAGGCACCACAGGTAGAGAGCACATGAAATCAGAAACAAGATTTCTAGAAAGATCAACAGGTACTGTTTTTACAAAACGCTATCAATGGCATATCTAATGGACCAAAAGGGAGCAAAAATAAACAAGTTTTCGAGAAAAGTATTACATTCTTTCCCTTCACTCCCATATGGCATCATCTTCCCCAACAACAAGCCAATATCTGCAGTTCTGCTCATAGATAAGAGGTAAAACTTTCAAATATTCTTCAAATCTACAGTGGATTTTAATGAGCTGAGAGCTATAAATCAATTAATAGTGCAAAAATTATTTCCTGAAAAAACTTTAATATGCCATAATAATTCTAAATTATTCTACAACTCTTCGTCAGACAGACCTGCATGAAAGAGATAGGAATTAAAGGTTTCAAGGGCTTATCAGAATATAAGAGATACCATTGTGAGTAGGAAGAGAGATATTTTCCTGCACACAGCTGTCATCCTATCAATTGGCATATTGAAAAGTAACATAGGCAGCCTCCTCAGCCGCTTGCCAACCTGAAATGGCTGATAAACTAAAGTGAATCCTTCTACGCTGTGCAGGCTAATATGATGTGAAACATCTGAATCTTAGCATATGATCAAGCAGAATATAGACATTTATATGTTCCTCTTCTGTTTGCAGAAAATAATATTTGTTACATTATACAGTGCATTACTTCAAAGTAAATAAAACATTGGAATGTTAAAGTATAATTAAAGTCCCTCTTATTTTGGCATATATCTACTGCTAGCAAGCAGTAGATTTTATGCCCCATGATTTAAAAAAAACAAAATTAGGCAAATACCTAATTACTTATCTGTTCCAGCACAGCTCGCTCCTGGCTCCCGAACAGCTGTGAAGAAGTGTGCTGGTGCATGCGCAGTACAGGGGAGGGGGAGAAAACACACTGAAGCTCAACAGACGTAGCTGGGCAGCCGGGAGCATGCACGGCAGAACTGTGGGACACGAGGAGTCTGCAGTGGATCAGAGAACGGCACCAGCGCTGGAGGGACTGTCGAAAACGAGTGGAAGGAAGAAGATGATCGCAGCAAGAGGCCTCAAATAAGGTAAGTGCTTACAGCAGCAATGGGGGGAGAGGGGTGTTGCCTTTAATGTCACTTTGATATTTTATTGTTAATAGCGACTAAAAAATGTCATTGTTTTTCATTTACAAATGTTTTATTGAATAATATTTTTGACTTTTAGCTTCAAACAGTAGAGCTTTAAGGACACATCCGCTCGCTGAAATCTTCATTTAAGGGCTTCCTTGGCCACTTTTTTTAAAAGAAAGTAAAAAAAAAAACCAATGCAGTTATCCTCACAGGGGTTCTTCAGCATCTCTTGTCAACGCTACATATGCACATCCAGCCAGCCTCCAGATCATGCTAACCTGCACATTTGGTTTTGTAACCCGCAGCTTCCTGCTGCACTGGACTCCACTCTGAGTCCTGGGTGGAGGCCTCCCGTCTCCCAGGTGGAGCCCTGAACACTAGCCAGCAGCCTTTTCATAAGGTTTGTGCACAGGTGCACAATCATTTAGTGCTAGTCACTCTTAAATAGTGATGGGCTCGGGTGTGTTCGCAGCTCCACGTGCCGAGCCCGCTCGGAAGCTCTCTGCGCCACAGTGCCAATCACAGGTACTGAGACATTATCCTGGTCCGCAGCTGAAGAGATCAGGAAATGTCTCAGTACCTGTGATTGGCGCTGCGGCGCTGTTAGCTTCCTGGCGGGCTCAGCACATGGAGCTGCGAACACGCCCGAGCCCGTCACTACTCTTAAACCACAGACCCAGGAATGGAGATTTCATCCCTCCCAGGTCTCTTTGAAATCTCCCGGCTCCAGGATCCCAAGCCAAATCTAGAAGGGCTGGAACAAAATGTCAAGCCAGCTCTTTCCTGGTAAAAGTATTTGCTTTCTGGAACCGCTCAGCCCCTCTGCCTGAGAGTCCTGGGTGACTATTTTGCCAAATTACAGAGTGGCATTGTCACTCACTGCCACATATTACATTACATGGATGAAATGTATGACAGGAACCTATGTAGATAAATTAGTTGACCAGATCAGGTAACAGGCAAACCCAGCACCAGCCGCTTCCTGGCATGGTGATTAAATACACCTTGGATCAAGGGAGACGCCCAGGACTATTTCAGACAGCATGTGAAAAACTGCTGTATTCAAAGTTCGCCATAGGAAGAAGGGAGACCCAATCATCCCGTGCCACAGACACAAAAAAAACACCTGAAGTATAGTTCCAGGGTTTGGTTGGTGTGTTCAGTCTGGCCATTACCTTGCATGTGGTATTTAGAGGACAGAGAGGATTGCATCTTTAATTTCTTACATATTTCTTGCCAAAACTTTGAGATAAACTGTACCCCACTGTTGGATACAATATCATCTGGAACACCATGAAGCCTCACCATCTCTTTAATGAAGGTGCTGGCCAACACCGCAGCAGAGGGAGTACCCATCATAGGAAGGAAGTTGAGCCACCATGGTGAGCTGATCAACCACTATAAAGGATGGAGTTGTGACCCTCAGAAGGCAGGAGCTCCACAATAAACTCCATGGACAGCATGTTCAATGGGCAAGTCAGGATAGGAAGAGGCTAGAAAACACCCAGGGGCTTGGATCTAAAACGTTTGCCATGGGCACATGTAGAGCAGGAGGAAACAAAGGACTTGCAATCTTTAGCGAGGTGTGGCCACCAGAAGGTCCTTCAGAGCATTTCCCTGGATGCGGCTGGTGCTTAAATACACCTTGGATCAGGGGACACACCCAGCATCAATTCAGGAAGATGCATTATTCCTGGCAGGGATTCTGGGAGCACTAATAAGGGTACTAGCTGAAATTCTGAAAGTGCCATTGGAAATCCTGGCAGGGATTCTGCTAACATCATTAGCAATGCTGGCAGACCTAGAGGTACCATAACAAGTGGCAACTTTTCCTCAGGGTTACCAGGAAGCATCAGAGAATAGAGCTTGTGGTTCATAAAAATAAGAGTTGAATTTAGTTTGTAGAACATCCTTCTTAAAAGGAAAGCCCCTAATAATAATAAAAAAAATGAGCACAAATATCACATTTGTAATTGTCACAGTTAGGCCATGAAAACATAAATTACATGTTGTTAGTCTATCAAAGTCCTCTACCTGCATTCAGAATAAAATCATTGTGTTTTGAACAGATTAAGGATTTTCACAGATTGTTACAGGCCAGTGTAAAATTATTATGCCTTATCTCCAAGTGTCCACTGTGGGAACCTGGTTTTGGAATTCTGGAACTTGCAGCAAGTGTGTTAGACCCCCATATTTAACCATCCTCTAAATCTCACTTGGTATGAAGCCTGCTCCATAACCCCTGTGTTTTGAACTTGCCTGAACTTTAGAAGATAGATGCCAAAAGGAAAAGGGTAGGCAACTGCTTTTTATACATATTCTTGTAAACGATATATTTATTTAACATTTATGAAACACTTGATCTATTACATGAAACGTAGTCTTGGAATAGAAATAAAAATGATTATTATATCACCCTAGATATTTGTTTATCAATAAACAGATATCTGGCCTAATTATATTACCTGCCATTGTTTGTAACATAGGTATGGTTTCAATATATTAAAATGGTCTACATATGAAGAATAACACTTATCCTGCGTTCTTTTCAGCATGGAAAAAATGGATTGCACACCCCTATTGCAATGTCTGATTTCTCCTGTTTCAGGGTACACAACTGGTCTACACCTTACTTTCCCCCTATTCATCTTCTCTCCCCCTCTTGCCCCCCCCCTCCAAGTTCATTACGAAAGAAAAACGTACTGAGATATTTAGCTTTGATACGGCATAATACTCTATGTATGTTTCTTTTACTGTTAACACTACTACTGACTGGTTAATGTTTCATACACCTGTGAGTATTTTCTTTTTGTTACTTACCAAATGTTGACTTGCTGTATTAGATGACCCGACTTCAATAAAGAAAAATTGATAAAAATGGTCTACATACCTACTATTAACCAACTCAATATCTGGTTTAGCAGTGGCAGTCCATGCTTAGCAGCTAGGCTGGAGTGAGTGGTGTTCACAATCCATATAGAAACTGCAAGGCTCAGCATCTATAAAACAAACAGTTAATTGCAGTGACAGCACACAAAGTAGACACAGATCAGTAACTAAAAAAAGAAAACAAAATCACATTTTCTTTATCAAGAACAAGCTCCTATCTGACATTAGCATTTACTACATTAATAAATAGAAACAAAACTAGTGTCAGAGCAGGATTTTAGTATTTTGCAGGCTTTTTCTGGTCTGTTGCTAACTCTTATTTATAGTCTTGCATAAACATTGAGGATTCTGTGATAATATTGTATTTGACTTACCTGGCCTACTTTCCAGGCATTACATTTACAACATGCCAATCTAAACAAATGCAGTTAGACAGGATTCTTTATTAATGTAACACTTAAATACTGCACATTTTATGATAAGGAATTCAATTGGGGGGATGGAGAATACTGACTACTATAGTAAAACTGAAAAAATCTTGACCAAAGGAATCTGAAAGTTTACGAATTTTGCATGCCTAAACAGCAGTTTAAAGGGAATTTGAAGAAGTATTGATTCTACCTTCCAGATCAGTTGGTTATTCCTTGAGTGTTATAACTAATGAAAACCTCTTTTGGCTTTCTTATATGGTAATTTTATGGCAATGCCCTCCCCATCTTTTGCAATCACTGCATTTATTAATTTGATTTACTTTCTATTGACAAAAAAACAAACAAATTTGGTTAAAGTAGAAGTATTGGGAGAGTAAAATATACTCTCCCCAATACTTTGGGTCATTGTGAGACACTGATCCCCACAGGGATTCCCCCCTCCCCTCTCTGTCCTACAGCGCTCATTCATTAGAGAGGCAGACAAGGGAAGGATGGGCACAGCAAGCCCTGGCTATAGAGAGGCAGAGCCAGCTGTCAATCAGGCAGCCTGGTGGATCTCAACAATATTGTGGGGATCCATCCCGGCTGCAGCGTGGTACTGCCAAGTTCGTCCAGCATACCCTAGAACTGTTAAATTGTATCTCTTGTATATTTAGACCCTGAATTATAACTAGATCCCCTAAGTAAAAATCCCAATCATTTCACAAAAAGGAGTATTGCATACATGCATTAGGCACTAGCACTGAAGTAATTTGATTAAGGGATTTGATTCACACCAATGGATTTCAAAATGATGCTTCAAATGTTACACAAAAGCTTTCTCCTTGACCCAATACCCAAAATAAAATGATTTCTTGTGTTACACTGTGGGGTTGATTTACTTTGCACATTAAATTTTCACTTAACTTAGAGAATGGGGTAACAATCACCCAATCATAGGCAAGGAAAATGTTTTTAAAAAAATGGATTTTTAATAACACATGATTGGATCAGCAAAGCTTCATCTAAATCACTAAGTTAAGTAAATTTTCAATTTGCAAAGTGAACATGCTCTAATCCTTTGGTACATCAACCCCTATGTCTTTAAATACCGAAATAATCATGTACATGCTTATTAAAAACATTACAGTACTTTGGCAAAACCATAAATATATATTTTAAACTAGTAGTAGTAGAAACATTAGTTGTTTACAATGTTTCTGTGCTCTTTCTGTGCCACTAACTGCATTTACCAAGATACATTTTTTTCTTATTTGTTGAATCCTGAATGTCTTCAGGTTTGCACATACAGAACATGAATTAAGAGGAAGACGCTGCCTCTGGCTGTAAATTGCACAGCACATGCTAAAAATGGGATTTTCAGGTCAAGTCCTTGGAGGGTTACACAGAAGCAAATCTATTTTGTGTCTGATTTCATGGGAACCTTTGCAACAGCTGCAGAAGTTTAAAAGCAATTAATAAAGTTAGTCCTTCCATCTCTCAAAGGCAAATATATGACACCATTACTAAATGCAGCATAATCTCTGCAATCTATTTTCAAAGATTGCTAACCCTGCCTGTTTTGAAGAAGCTCTTTAAAACTATTTTTTAGAAATTAGGTGATGCAGGGAACATAGGCAAAGTGTTAAATTTCTTTACTCCTGAGGCAAAATGGTCAAAATGTCAAATTCAAAAGTGAGAAAAATGTCAGTAATGATTCAATAACACCTCATTATAAGCAACTGATTAACACAACTCTCTGGTATTCCCTGATCAATTACAATGAGTTTCAAATTATCATACTAATTTTCATTTTGCAATTCTACTTAACAGCAAGTGTAAGTAATACAATGTGAAATATGGAGCTCTTGGGCATACATCAGCAGGGGAGAACTAAAAGCTTTGAATTTTGAAAGTCAGTCATATGCTGGACAGCTTCAGATGTCTTTGTCAATAACCCACTTAATTAAAAAAAAAAAAACTTCCTCATTTTTTTCCATCATCTTTCTGTATCATCACTATGAACCTTGAATTGAGAGGTTCCAGTTGAAATGGAATGGGTATGTTTTAATGATAAATACCAAACCAAAAAATGGGGCTTTTAAGGTGACTGGTGAACAATGCAAGGAGATACTGCTAGACATAATAACACGTAGCTCATTTTTATATAATAAAATTCATATTTAATAGTGTAATTTCATGATTAGCAAAAATTGTATATAAAACCATGAATAAAACCACTCATCTAAAAACAGGACCATATTACATAGACACGGTATGTCACCTCTTAGGAAGCTGTAGGGATTTTGAGCAATGATTCATATTCTTGGCATTGAGTTTATTACAAAAATGTCCATAATTGATTAGATCAGTCAACATATTGATACATATTTCCAAATACATCCAAAAAATCTGTACTTTTCCATTCTTTGACGCGTTTCGCCATAGCTTTGTCAAGAAGTTTATAGAGGTGGCCTGTAGAATCAATATGAATATTATAATGAGCATTTTTTCAGTTGGGCCACTCCCACACTTCGGATGCGCTATATATAGGGTGCATATGCGGACCTAGTGCTCGCCCTGGCTGCATACGTCACATGCCGACGAATTGGACGGTGTGTGTGTCTGCGGTGGGAAAACTCTAGAGGACGGGAGACTCGGGGAATTGGAAAGAGAGAAGTTGGCTCTGGATACTTAAGGAGTTTGAACATGTTACAAGGTACCCAATCGTTCTCATGGGTTTTGTGTTTTCTTATCTATTATTAGATCTGGTTATATACTAATGAGGACTACTTTTGACAGTCCTAGATACACTAGAGAATAGGATTCTCTGGATTAATGGATGGTCTAGGAAGGAAGCGAAATAGATTAGATAAGTTCAATTGACTTACTTGGATACTGCTATGGATATGGAAGTATCTATTGTTAAGGCTATTTGTATCAAACCTCAGATGTTCTCTATATTCACTGACCTAGTAAGGTTCAGAGAGCTGTTTCATTTTGTTTTATTGGGTTAGATATGTTATCTTGTATGCACATGAAGGTATACTTAGAAGAGTATCGGACTATGATATCATTTAATTTTATAGGTTGAGAAAGGACAGTCATAGGAACTTCCCCTTCCCTTCAGCCCCCGAGTTATCCCTGCCCCTCTTCTTCTCCTGGCTGAGTGGAGGGACTCCGCTAGATGTGAATCTGCTTGTCATCAGAAATCCTATATATGGTATTTATTTATTTATTGATCTATCTAAGTAATTGTTATGTATGGTTAGTTATTTATAATTACTTGAATGCTCATTATAATATTCATATAGATTCTACAGGCCACCTCTATAAACGTCTTGACAAAGCTACGGTGAAACGCGTCGAAGAATAGAAAAGTGCAGATTTTTTGGATGGAATATGTGAAAATATGGAAATATGTATCAATATGTTGACTGATCTAATCAATTATGGAAATTTTTTGTAATTAACTCAATGCTAAGAATATGAATCATTGCTCAAAATCTGTACGGCTTCCTAAGAGGTGACATACAATATCTATGTAATATGGTCCTGTTTTTAGATGAGTGGTTTAATTTATGGTTTTATCTACAATTTTTGCTAATCATGAAATTACCCTATTAAATATGAATTTTATTATATAAAAAAGAGCTATGTGTTATTATGTCTGGCTGTATCTCCTTGCATTGTTCACGAGTCACCTTAAAAGCCACATTTTTTGGGTTTGGTATTTATTAGGGATGCACCGATACCACTTTTTTAAGGCCGAGTACGAGTACCGATACTTTTTTCCAAGTACTCGCCGATACCAATTACCGATACTTTTTCTTAAAGGGACAGGTCACATTTTTTCTAAAGCAATACAAAATCATGATTTTAGGTCAGTTTCTTAATATTATGAAGAACATGAACACTCTGTACTGTGGCACAGCTATATCCAATTCTGCATACCTGGCTTTATATTAGAAGAACTTTATAATATAAAGCCAGGTATGCAGAATTGGCTACAGCTGTTCCACACTATACAATAATACACTGTTCTGGGGTCTGGACATGTGGTAATCTATTTTCCCCACTAGGGGGATACAAGCCTTAGTTAGCAATGGCATGATAAATATTCATTTCATTATTCAATGTCTTTTTTTTATGTTATAACATTTATAATATAAAAAAAAGACATTGAATAATGAAATGAATATTTATCATGCCATTGCTAACTAAGGCTTGTATCCCCCTAGTGGTCAAAATAGATGAGCACATGTCCAGACTGCAGACCAGAACACAGTGTGGCACAGCTACAGCCAATTCTGTATAACTGGCTTTATATTATTATTACATTTTCTTATAATATAAAGCCAGGTATGCAGAATTGGCTGAGCCCCATGAGGTGTGTCAGTACTAACCTGCTGTGTCGTCTTCTCCGTCTGCTTCAGCCACTCCGTGTCACAGCCTAGTCATCTGCTCCAGTGGCGTAACCAGAGTTATGGGCGCCCGGGGCAGAAATTGTTTTTCGCCCCCCCCATATTATATAAACATCCACTAGAACTGTACCCCCCACCCCCACACATATATATCAGCTAAGGAACTACAAGTCCAAGCATGCCATCATTGTCCCTGTACACCCCCCCACACACACACATATCTCCCAGGGAATGGCAATATCTGGTTGTTGTACAGGGGCAATGAGGGCATGCTGGGACTTGTAGTTCCCTAGCTGATATGTTATGAAGCTGTATTCTACCTGAAAGTACTACAATGCCATTATAGAACTAAGAATAGAACATAAAATAAAACTTTTTTTTCTTCTTCTAATACTCACCTGATTCCTGGATCCACCAACAAGCGCAGCCTCCCGTCTCCCATGCTGTTAGAAGTTGCATACAGCGTGTGCTGGTTACTACTTAAACCGACGCACGCAGTGTGCAGCTTCTGGGAAGATACGCTATTAGCATAGCGATGAAGCCGGCTGCGCATTTTGCATCACTCATGCTATGCTGATAGCGTATCTTCTTAGAAGCTGCACACTGCGCGCACCGGTTTAAGTAGTAACCAGCACACGCTGTATGCAACTTCTAACAGCATGGGAGACGGGAGGCTGCGCTTGTTGGTGGATCCAGGAATCAGGTGAGTATTAGAAGAAGAAAAAAAAGTTTTATTTTATGTTCCCGGGGACATTTAAAAATGCCCCCGGATTTTATTTTTAAAAAATGTGTCACCTTACCTTAGCCTGGTGGTCAGTGGGGGCTTCCTGGACCCTGGTTGTGGG